TACTAAAAGAATTGTTTTATTACAAGAGGTTATTATTGAGATGATATACCTAATGTACGTATTTTATAACTCACTTATCTATTTTTGAAAACTGTAATTTATTGGATAACAACAACCACTTTTGAAATTTATGTGAAGTGTAACCGAAGTATAACCGAAAACTGATGATTGAAAAACAAAAGGTATGACGGCAGTTTCGTCTTCATCTTATGAATACAAGAGGCTTTTGTCTTTGCCTATACATACTGATTACTACACAGTCTGTGTTACATAAAATTCGAGGAATTAACCCGGCGATCTATTTGTCGGTTAAACTAAATGAGTTTGAAATATTTACTGGTGTAATGATTTAATGTGCTTTGACAGAAATTTTTAAATGGAAAGCCAAGTGCTATTCATGTTCTTTTCAACGGCGACAGCCGCATCTTTTTACCGAGTATAATTGCCGATATATTAAAATTTTTGTAAGGTACTACAAACGTCAAATTTTCTAGAAATTACTAAATAATTCCAAAAAAATACCGCGTAGGCAAAAACTATGCTTAACAAACTAGACATTAAAATCGATGCTGAATTCAAATATATAATATATTTATAGGGTGTTCCGTTTAAAATAAGGCAACTGATGTATATTTCCAGTATATCCAGAAGCCCGCCATCTGTGAAATTATTTTCCGCATGACCGCTAGGGAGAAAGGCGCGCTTAATGGACTACCCTGTATACAAGGTGCTTGTCGGCCACTTTCCCTTTCCTTGCCTTTTGTCATTTGTTGGTTATTTAAGGTTTAATGATCTGATTAGATTTTGTTGTGGTTTCCCCAATCCTTGCAACGAATGTTGGGTCATTTCAGGTTCAGAACTCATAAAGGAATCTGTATAAGTTACTAATTTTTCACCTTCTTTTGAAGATTTATTTCTCTTTTAATTGTTTTTACCTACCCGACACCGGTTTTGACGAGTTCGTACCTGACCCGGGACGGACCGGTCACAGTTAGCACATAATGCTTGTAAGTTACCAATATTGCACAACGTAAGTATAGAAAGAGCCTACTAATTTTGGCAATCACTATCACTTCTAATTGGTTCGATTAATTAAATAAACATATTTTATGGGTTCATTCGTGTTTTATTTATACCTCTCCAACACCAGATTTGACGGGTTCGTACCACCCGGTAAAGGGCTCGAATGATCACATGTTGTACTTGTATTCTTAGCAGCGGGGAGACCTAATCAACAAAATATTTTATTTTTGTAAGAGTGGGTATAGCTAGTATAGTTAAGCGGTTCCTATAAGTGGAATATACGTGGGCGATTCCGTACAGCGGAAAGGATTTTGTCGGAAGAAGGATGAGTCAAAGGATAGAGTTGAGCTAGCTGTGCGAGCGTTAGGAAGCATGTGCGTCGGAGTGTAGTTTCTTTGTAGTTTAATAGGCTTTTATCAATAAATATTTCTAATATACCGTATTCAAGTTTAATTATGTAAGCCCACAGTTATCCCTTACAGTTTCGGAAGTGGGATTGAGCAAGAATTTACCGATTTGTTTTTCTACTTTATGAAAACGCACGACTTCGGACACGTTGATAGTTATTGATTCATTTATGGAAATGCAATAAGTGCTCGCACATTTCTGTTACATTAGTTTTCAGTGCACCAGCTTATGGTACGGTGTTGTGCGTGTCATTGTAGTTTTTGTGCACGCACCTCGCACAAATTTTGGTACACGTGCTTCACCTTTAGGAGCAGTGAATAATACCAAAACATACCTGAACATCGACTGATTTTAAGTTGCACGAAAAAAAGTTATTGTGGTGTTTACTGTTAACCAAATTAAAATGGCACATGAATTAACAGTATCAGAATTAAAACAAATTTTGGCCGAAAAAGGACAAAGAACCAATGTAAACAAGGATGCTCTGGTTTACGGTTATAAGAGAAAAATTTAGACGGTTCTCGGATAAGTGAATTTAAAGCCTCAAAATAAACAGGTCCGTTTGAAGGAAATGCGGAAAATTTTGAAGTCTGGGCGCGACAATTATGTATAGTTAGGGACGGGTATAAATTATCGGATAAAATGATGCGAGTTGCCATTAGCATTAAATTAAAAGGTAAGGCGCAGAGATGGTTTCATTCGAAGCCCGACTGCTTAAATTTATCAAACGATGACTTAATCCGGGAGATGTGAAAAATGTTTTGTCCACGATCGAGTAAATTGCAATTACGAAAAAAAATTGAAAGTCGAATATTGGCGCGTAACGAATCGTTTTGTAAATACGTTCACGAAAAAACAATTTTGGCAAATAAGGTTGGTATTAACCACGTGGAGAGCTGATCGAGTATTTGATCGAGGGAATAGCGGATGAGATGTTGTGTAATCAAGCGCGGATTCAATGATTTGATGTGGTTGATGAATTAATTAGCTCTTTTGAGAACGTGTCGTTAAACAGAAAAGTAGTTGTGAATAAAAGTAAAGATATTACTAAAGAAGCGGTCAGTAAAAATTGGAATGAAGGTGAGAGAAAGGGAATCGATAAACCGTTAAGGTGTTATAACTGCCACGAACCTGGTCATTTAGCTGTAGCGTGTCCTAAGGAAAAACGACCTCGGGGTTCATGTTTTGAATGCGCATCTGTGGAACATGTAATGAAAGATTGCCCGATTAGAAAAAAGGAAAAAAAAACGGTGGTGAGGTAGTTAATGTTGCTAACTCAAACGAATGTAGTGACAGATATTACCCGCGAGTTACGTTGTATTTTGAGAATGAGGATGAAGAATATGGTTTAAGCTTACGAACGTTACTGGACAGCGGAAGTCCGATTAGTTTTATAAAAGTTCGGTATGTCAATACAAAATTTTTATCGAAGTTAAGCGAGTCTGATGCAAATTATTGCGGAATAAATCAATCTAAAATGCATGCACTAGGTATGGTAAAGATGAAATGCTTATAGTATGATCATTTACGCGAGATTGAGTTACTAGTGGTTGAAGATGATACCATGGTTTCATCTATGGTTTTGTGATAAATTGGACATAAATTCGGAAATAGATTTTAGTACACGCATAAAATTACGGGCTGATTTTCGAAAAATTTGTATTGAATCCAAAAAACCTGAAGCGCCAATGACAAAATTAGAGTAAAACCGCATGAAGCGTTTAATTTTACACCTAGACGTTTAGCTTATGCGGAAAGAATAGAATTAAAAAGAATTACGGATGATATGTTAAAGCGAAAGATAATCAGAGAAAGTGACTCTGATAATTTTTCTCGAGTAGTTTTAACTAAGAAAAAAATGGGTTATTGCGTATGTATATCGATTTTCGAACTTTGAACAAACATTTAAAATCGGGAAATTTTCCATTACCATTGATAGATGATCAAATTGAGATATTAAAAGGAAAAAAAAATTTTAGTTCAACTGATTTAAAAGATGGCTTTTATCATGTGAATACGGCCAAAGAATCAGTTAAATATACATCATTTGTAACGCCTTATGGGCAGTTTGAATTTTTGAAAATGCCATTCGGGTTGAAAGTGGCATCCCAACATTTTCAGAAATTTGTTAATACCGCATTTAAAGAACTAATTGATTCGGGCGACATTACGGTTTACATTGACGATATTTTAATTGCAACAAAATCCAATGATCATCATCTTAGTATTTTACGTAAAGTTTTTAAAACATTAGTCGAAAATAAGCTTGAAATACAGCTTACGATATGTCACTTTTTAGTTTCCGAAATAAATTATTTAGGTTATTTCGTTTCTGAGAAAGGCGTAAAGCCAGCAGACAAAGGAATTAAATTCGTTATGAAATTTCCTGTACTGAAGGACATAAAAGGGGAACACAGTTTTGTAAGTGTTGTTTCTTATTTTCGTAGATTTATTGAATCATTTGCCCTTATTGCGAAACCACTTTATGATTTGTTAAGGAAAGGGTGTGAATTCAAATTCGGTGAGCGCGAATACGAAGCATTTAGCATTTTGAAACAAAAGCTGGTTAGTGACTATTTATGATCCTTATGCAGAAACCGAACTTAATTGTGACGCAAGTTCATTAGGATTTGGGGCAGTTTTAATGCAAAAGGGAAAGGATCGGAAAATGCACCTTGTATTTTATTTTTCTAAAAGAACGGCTGACTGTGAAAGCAAGTATCATAGCTTTGAACTAGAAATGCTTGCAATAAAATACGCGTTGGATCGCTTTAGAGTATATCTTCTAGGGATAAAATTTAAGATAATTACAGATTGCAATTCTTTAGCGCTAGCGTTAAAAAAAAGTGAAAGATATTATTCCGCGAATTGCACGGTGGGTCTTGGAATTACAAAATTATGATTACACGACTGAACATAGGGCTGGAGAGCGTATGTCACATGTTGATGGGTTAAGTCGCTGTAATTTTGTGGCCGTAATAGAAGATAATTCATTTGAAACAAATTTAATTTTAACGCAAAATCTTAATTGTGAAATAACTAAAATTAGAACTGAACTGGAAAAAACGGAGAGTAAATTTTATGAATTACGTAACAGAATAATATATCGGAAAATCGGTGACCAACTATTTTTTTATGTACCCGCGGAAATGGAAAAGGGGATTTTATTTAAATATCATGATGAGCTTGGGGGCTGAAAAGATCATTGACATCATAAGTAAGTCGTATTGGTTTCCACGGTTAAGAAAAAAGGTAGAAAATATGTTTTGTATTTCTCTATTTTTATTAAAGTCAATAAAATGCCTGGGTTNTGTTTTCAAAAACTTGCAATCGTCTTTTGTTTTCGAAAATTTCGAGTTTTGACTACATGTCCATATCTTTAGAAACATTAGAAAAGCAACTATTATGTTCTTCAGAGACATTTTTAGATAAAATGCAGTGGCGTAGGAAAAAATTAAAAAAAAAAACATCTCTTTTCGGGTTAATTAACTATGCTCTGGTCAAAAAAATATTTTTTTCCTCTTTCAAAAAATATATAGAGGACCCAAACAAAATAAAATAAAATACTAAGTTGTTGTGGTAAATACATCACATCTGTAAATGTACATGTATAATAATAAATGCTTTTATTAAATATATTTACAGTCTACAAATTATGAATATGAAACTGAAGACTTCTACAATTAGTAGGTACATATAAATATGCAACATTGGTAATTCCATGAATTCATTACAAATCAGCTTCGTTTTAACTGTAAGTTTGACAAATTGATCGTTGTTATCAGACTTTATGATGACCCCAGGACGAATATTTCCTTTATAATTTCTTAGGCAAGTATCACTTTCCATGTTCATGATTATGGTCATGCGGAACTATAAAAGAGATAAAATATAAGAACTTGTTTAAAATGTTACAAATTAGTTTTTATTTGAAGGTTAAAAATATAAATATTTAGATGCGCCATATTTATCTGTTACTTGTTTAGGTTTGGAAACAATTAAGAAAACTGAAAAATATCTTATATGATAATATAATATCTAATAAAAAGTTCAATAACATAACAACTTTCTCTCGTACGTAGATAGCATGTTTGTGTGAATTAATAGAACAAAATATTGTACTACATTATATCAACCATTGAGACATGAACTTGTTTAACTAATTAAAAATTCTATGCTATTGACCGCTAATGAATTAGCCTTCATTTAACACAAAAAATAGGTTTTAGCACATATTCACTGGAAGTATCTTATGATAATATCATAAAATAAAAACAATCTTTCTTGCGTAAGTTGTAGTTTGTATGATATCACGTAATAAAATAAATACATACGTATTTTACTGAGAATAATTACAAAACAACATATTTTACCCAAGAAGTCCTTTGTTAGAACTTTAAGTAGTAATAGACCAAATTTAATCTAATTAATTAACAAAAATATGTGCGGAATTTGCAGAAGGTGATAGGGCACTATAAAACATGAAAATTAGGTAAATGTTCGTACGTCCAAATATTCGCCGTTTTCGAGAAAAACGTAGTTGTAAGTACAAGTAGATTTAATTCCGACCCATGTAAAAAATACGACAACGCAACGTCGCGTTCAATCAGCTGGCAATTAGCAGCATCCGTATTGTATTTTTGTTGCTCATTTATTGTTTGCTATTTGTTAGATTAAATTAAGTATTATCCAAGGTGTTTATGTAACAGGGAATTGTTTATATTTTTAACATTTAAATTTTGTATTTAGTTAATCGATGTGCAGTTCAATAAATCAATTCAGTAATACGACATCAGACATTAGAACATGTCAGTATGTCACTGTAGAACAGTTGCTGCAACAATGATGTGACATGGCACTTATGTACGGGATTCAACCATATTGCCACTGTAGAGGATGAAACCTTCATTACATAAATGACAAACCGCAAAATAGTACACACAAAATAGCAGAGAGCATTGGCTCTTCTCATATGACTGTGTGGCAAAGATAAGCTCAATTACAAGCAAAAATTAGTAAATAATTTACCTCGCCTGACAATGCCTCGATGGTGGTGTGAAAATTTACCTTATACCTAATAAAATTAGTTATCCAAATTATATCATTTACTTTTACGTTCTTAATGCATATTGAGGTGTAATTTACACATCACTGCATGCTATCAGCGATGAACAAATATATTTATTTAATTCTTTTTATCATAATAAGGAGTCCAAATACTACGAGGGTGGATTGATAAGTTTCCGGCCTAACCAAGAGATGACGCCACTAGGCCTACCTTGAGGTGACATTCTATAGTACCATCCTTGGATAGCTTGTAGCTATAGTTTCAGCCCGATCTCCTTGCTAGTGTAGGTTTGACAGCACGCTGAACAAGACGCCTCTGTGGTTTTCGTAAAAATGGAAAAGCAGGAAAATCGTGCTGTCATCAAATACTTTTATTTGAAGGGGTTAACGCCGAAGGAAATTAAAAAAGAGATGGACTCAACACTGGGGACATCCTCCCCGTCATATTCAACCGTTAAGCAGTGGGTTTCCGAGTTTAAAAAGGGTCGTGTGAGCACCTCTGATGGGCCTCGCTCAGGACGCCCCGTTGAGGTCACAACTCCAGATATGATCGAAAAAATTCATCAAATAGTGCTGGGAGACCGCAGATTGAAAGTGCGTGAGATAGCTGAGACCTGTAAGATGTCATATGAACGTGTGCAACATATTTTGCACCAACATTTGCATATGGAAAAGCTCTGTGCAAGATGGGTGCCGCGTTTGCTAACAGTCGACCAAAAATTGATTCGAAAAAACATTTCTACCGCAAATTTGTCATTGTATAAGCGTAATCCAAGCGAATTTTTGCGTCGATTCGTAACCGTTGACGAAACGTGGGTCCACCACTACACTCCTGAAACCAAAGAACAGTCTAAACAGTGGATTGGACCAGGGGAACCAACTCCAAAGAAGGCAAAAACAATTTTTTCGGCGAACAAGGTTATGGCTACTGTTTTTTGGGATGCAAGAGGTATTATATACATTGATTACCTTGCAAAGGGTAATACTATCACTGGTCAATACTACGCAGACTTATTGCAACGTTTGAGCCACGAGGTGAAAATTAAACGACCTCATCTGGCGAAGAAAAAAATCTTGTTTCATCACGATAACGCACCAGCGCACACGTCAATCGTTGCGACGGCTAAAATCAACGATCTAAAGTTTGAATTGATGCCGCACCCTCCTTACTCTCCAGACCTAGCCCCGAGTGACTATTTTCTGTTCCCTAATCTCAAAAAATGGCTTGGCGGTAAGAGATTTGCGGACAATGAAGAAGTAATCGAAGCTGTAAATGGTTATTTTGAGGAGCTTGACGAATCAGTCTATAGAGATGGCATTAATAGACTGGAACACCGCTATGAGAAATGTATCAGCCTTGGAGGAGATTATGTTGAGAAATAAAAAAAAAAAATTTTTAAAAACCTTGTTTTTCTTGGTCAGGCCGGAAACTTATCAATCCACCCTCGTATATATAGTAGTAAATTGTTCGCTTATCTTATACGTTCAATAACCGTCATTGTTTACATTATTCATTGATGTAGAGTTTTAATCTCACTTGGCTATTCGTACACACCTACGTTGCCAATTCATTCACAGGACCTGTTTCAAATTGTTGTATCTTCCTTAACAAATTTTTTGTCCTTAACCATGCTACTGAGCTCACTATGCGATTCCATACTGCATCTAGTGTATACCCTCCAAAGCTCCGCACTTATTTCTGTTACATCCTGTATATTCGCTTCTACAGTTAAATTAAAACAGATTAAATTATTAGCCAAATAAAACTAACCTTGACAAATCCAACAACTTGAGCGAAACAACGGCTGTTTTTTTTTAAATAAATAATATACGTTTAATCCCAGCACGCGTTGATTAAACAACTGATATTAAAACAGACTGAATTTTATGCACACCTAGAAAATTCCCAAAATATACATAAAACTTTTCGTCAGAATGTTTTCTATTTTGATTATTACTGTTATCTTTCGTAAGTCCGTAACGACCATTAGTGTTTATGTATTTAAGGATTTAATTGATAGATAGGTACCTGTTTGTGTTTTGTTAAAACACACAGCGAAATTGTTGAAGTGGTTTCTTCTTTGGACAAAATATACAGTACGCCTTAATTCTTATATTATCACTTTATCAGAGACTACAAGCACTTTTGTATTAATGTCAACTTTATGTGTCTAGTAAGAGCTATTTTGTCTGTGTACCTGCATACCTCTGAATTTTATATATAATTTTAAATAGAATATTGTTTTACAATAAAATCATCAAGCACACGAAAAATGGAATGTATTTTTGAAATCTAATTTATAGAAACAATTAATTTAAGTGAACCCCTACCCATAGTCAACGTTCTCATAACCTAACCACAAACCATCTACATTTACTCAGCGATAATATCACAACGACAGACAATACCGTTAAAAGTTAAAATAAGTTCCGACACTCCTAAAAGAAAGTCAAACGTAAACAATGCAACTAAGTGCAGTGCCGACAAATTTACCAATAGCAATACTACCCAAAGACAGGAATAAAAGGAGAGCGAAGAAATCTACGTAAGTAGATTAAATAATGAACATACGAAGACGACCCTCAGACCAACACAAAAACGTAAGACTATTGAACACTCAATGAAAATACAAGAGAATAATAAAATAGTAAAAGTAATCACAGAAAAAGGAAAATACGCAAAACCGTGCAAAAAACAAACAACAATACAAATACCCAACAGGATCAACAACATCTGCACAAAAGCTCAATACCGCTAATTGTTATACGAGACAAAACCCAATAGATCAACAATAGAACATCAAGGTAAATAATATATAAAATAAATAATATAAAATATATCAAAGCACAAACAACAAATGAAAGGATTCGTGTTTATCCATCAACCGAAGGACGACTACAGGAGTATGTACAGAAATTTTAAAGACAGTAACGTCTTCCATACATACAGTTTAAAGAGAGAAAGAAACCATTAGAATCGTTTCGTAAAATAGAACTGATCAATAATGCAAAGCCCTTTTGTCAAAACGTTTCAAGGGTGATTCCATTACCATTATTGAACAAACTAAGAGCGGAATTAGACAGGTTAACGAAATTGAAGGTAATCGAGCCCGTAGATTTTCAGGCTGAGTAGTGTAGTCTAATAGTTTGCGTTCCGAAAGCGTCAGAGTCAGGAATTAAGTTATGTTGTGATTATACAGAACTGAACCGATGTGTTCCTTTACTCTAAACGCTTTTCTGAAATTCTGGCAGGAATTCCAGGGGTAGAAGTCCATGCAGATGACATCTTTCTTTTTGCGGATTCTATGGAAAACCACGACCGTATAGTGATGTAAGTTTTGAAAAAGCTCGACAAGGCAGTAATCACGATATATTCGGCGTCGATACAGTTGATTTTTTGGGACATCAATACTCAAGACATGGTATGAGCGTTCTGCCAGATCGGGTTAAAGCAAGAGTAGATTTTCCAGTGCCAAAAATAAAACAAATGTATATATATAGGCATGGTGAACTACGCGGCTAAATTCATTCTTAATAAATCAAAAATCGTGGATCCATTGAATGTGTTGGTTCAAGAGTCAACAAAGAGCGTTTGATGAAGTAAACAATGTGTTGCAAACGACGCCTACGTTAGCTTATGTTAATTACAAAAAGAAAATTATTGTTCAGGCAGATGCCTCTAGCTACGATATAGGAGGGGTTTTAATTCAGGAAAGCACCTCAGAGGACAGAGAAGTAGTAGCCTATACTTCGCGTAAATTGTCAGAAAGACAATAGAAAGATTTCGTTACCGGGATTCACGTCAT